AAATATTATTCATGTACTTGTAGAACAATTACCAGGATCAGAAACACAAATTATTTAGATTTTTTTTTATTTGTATTTGCACTTATAATAGCGATATATATTTTTTATTTGTATACTGTTTCAGCAATTTTTTATAAAATAAAAAAAGGGGTCCAGTGGGCTCACTATTTTTTATTTTTATGTGTATCTGACCAAAACTGTAATATATAACTAGCAAAGTATTAATTATTTTTCTGTGAAATGAATTTTTATTTATTACATTATTAATATGCGCGAATTGAATAACGATATTCTGATTTTGTATAAGTTTCACCGGTATTTAAATCATAATAATAACCTTCATCATCATCATCATCATCAGAAAAACCACAGAACCCTCTATTATCTTCATTGTTATTGAAGGAACCCTCATTCTCAGAGTTATCATCATCGGAAGATTCCTTATTATCGTCTTCATCCTCAGTATCTTTGGTAGATGTATTTACTTCAACTTTCGGTAATTTTAAATCTTGATCATTTTCTGGAGATGAATCGGATGATATACTTACCTTATCTTTTGAATTGAAGGCATGAAATGTGGTTACCTCAGCTAAAATCAAAGGAGCATTAATCTGATCATCACGATTCGTGACGGAAGTCACATGATTACAATTTGGTACCTCCAGTATCCTTCCTGCCAAAGTCACATTCTTGATAACACTTTGAATTTGATTAATAGTAAGGCTTGAAATGTCATAAACACTGAAAGTAACCTGCTTAACCTTATCTATTCCCACTCCATCTTCTCCGAATAACATACGGATTTTTTTAGCTCGTAGGGTTCTTATACGCAAGTTTCCCAATGTGATGCCGGGTAGATGCTCTAGCATTTCTTTGTATATTTGTGATCTAGCTGTTTTATCTGAAGCTCCAGTATTATGGCAAATCTCATCAACTTTATTTTCAAAACTATTTGAATAATAAAGCCAAGATAAGATCACCTCGTGTCTAGCTCGTATTGCATTCTGGAATAAATGGACTAAGTTTTGCATCGTATCTAGAGATGATGATAGATGTGACATCAAAGGTATCTGTTCCGTAGCCTCAAAAGAGATTGATGGAGCAGAAATGATACCGCTAAGCAATTCCTTTGTTAATTCTTGCTCTACAACCTGACTTTTAGTGAACTCAATGTCATCATCATTATTTTCCTGAGATGTAGTAATGACTGGAATATTTTTTTGCCGATCGTCACAATTCGTGACGGAGTTTCCATTTTTTACCGAATTTTCCGAACTGCTCCGATCATCATGACTCTTCACAGAAGAAATATCCTGGGAAATTGAGGATG